CGAAATTACACCTCAATTCTAAGCTAAAAGAATAGCTTAATATTGTAGTAGTAGTGTGCCATATAATATATTCTATACACTTTCATTTTATACATGTAACGTTTGATTTTATTGGTAGATATATATAGATGAGTTTGGGCGATTCTGGTCTTTACTCTGAATAGGTTGCTAACGAAAAGGTTTTCAGCTTGATCGGTCAAATCTGCAGCATAGGCTACCTGTTTGTGTTCGTTGAGTGATTTCTTACCGATTTCTCACGATCCTTGGGGTATAGGTTCATTACAACGACTCAGTATACGACTCGGAAAAGATTTTAAAAGAGCTATAAAACACCTCTATAAATCCTATTCAATTATTTATTTATTCTTTTCTTATTTTCAAATATATAAAGCCATATACGGTAAGGTAGCCTACTTGACGATAGTCGCGACGACCTAGACGTTCCTCCGGTTGTTGCAGAAAAGTATGACGCTAAACCCCATTTATTTCATTCCATTTCGATATGACTGGCATAATTCACTTTTCTAAAAATGCAACCGAACTCCGATTTCCAACTTGCATTTTATTATCAGGCTTAACCTTTCCTACTAGATGGCAGCGCCAATTTCTCATTGAAAGGTTACTTATAATTAATGATCCGAAGTTTATTTGCAAATGTCATTTAATACTTGAGTGTGTTTAGAGTGTCTAGAGATTACAGAAGAAATCGGTCTAGACATGTATTATAATATATTCTATTATCAAACTCTGCAGACGAATATTACAAGCATTGATTGCATTAACATTCTGCTTAAATTCTTAAACAAATTAAAGGTCCCGCCACACAAATGTCCGAAGCATAATTGATTTTGACATTTTGGGTTTTAATGCTGGGCCATTGTTTTTGTTTAGACTTCTGTTTGTTATATTTATGTGGCTGAATTTCATGTTTTCATTTGTACATTGTACACTTCGTGACCGAGTTTAATTTTATAATCAAATAATTTCAACGGTTATCCTTATAAAATTATGGTCTTGTTCTCCAAACCCCAAATTGTCTCCGCTTCCGACTTCAAAGAATTTCAAATTGAAGGCTATGTAGAACGTAGAGATTGAGGAGACTATAATAAAAATCAATTTTTTCGCCTCCCATATAAGTTAATATACCGGAATCAACGTCAAGCACAAAAGAAATGTAACTCGATCAACATGGATGATTCTTGATTTGTTAACGAATTCAAAAACAAGGCAGAGCGAAGTGAACAGTAGAAAATATTCTACGGTAGCTAAATGTACCAAAGTAACAGTATTGTGTCCGTCTATATGAGACCAACATAACACAGATAGTCAATTGTAATGCCATTTCAATGGGCGGGAGGGTAGTGTAGTACGTTTATAATTCACAACAAATACGAGTTCACTTTATTTCAAATCCATTAGTTTTAACAGAAGCTTTGGTCAGAAACATTATAAGCTCATTAACCATTGCTATACTGCTGTAACAAATCGACGTTTCTTATTAGCTAGCGTCACCTAGATCAGATACCTAAATCAAAGCAAGCAGAAGCGAATCTAGAAGCTGTGAATAGCGGGGTCCGAATCTGGAGCGCCATGCACAATCCCACCTCACAATGAATGTGAACATATAACACTGAACTCCCCGGTAGAACATAGATCGCATTGCCTATATAGTTGTCCGCCGATCGTTATCCCGCCGAAAAGCAGTTTTATTCAAGTTGACATAACGTTCATGTCGTAAATTCGCGCCTGGAAGTAAGAGATAAAAGCACCAACACAGACTTTTTCTAGGAACCTAAGCTTTAAGTCGTGTGTATATATAATAAACTATACATTTCGAAAATCTTAATCGATGCCACATTTGGTGGTTTGTTAAAAGTTTTTGGCGTGTTCTTTAGAAGCTTCATATATCTATACATTCAGTTGGAATCTTTTGGTATGCTTTAGTATTAGGTGACTCATTCTGCATCACATAGACCCTACAGTGGTGGTAGTACCCTTGTCAGCGGCGTGGGACGTAAAAGACCCTAGTTAGTTGGGATCCGATACAGAGTAGGGATAAACGCCGCTGCCCGAGCAAAATTACCCCCATAACACAATGTATGACGTATGACCATCTTTATTAGTCCATTGACTGAAAGTATATAGGCATTAAACCCCAATTCATAACATTTTATTTCACTAGGGTGGCAACATGAATCTGAATAACGGTTCGTTTGTTATAAACAACTTTACCTATCGTGTGCTGGTTAAGTCACAATTTCCATTTCATTCAGTTGTTAAAAAAGATAGTGTCGAGAGCAGATAATCCTCGTCTGGATCTCTGTAAAACCAGCTTCTCGGTAAAAATTAAATTATAATTGTCGTGTAATTGAAGTGGGGAGGAAATCATGTGGTTAAGCTGAAGATAGCTTATCAGTCTCTTGACTCTCATCCCATCCGTCAAAATACAACTCCGTCATGTTTGATTAAGCACTGAACGGAGATAGGTCAGACCAGACAGTCAACACTTCTAATAGATTCCCATCAATTTCAAAACTAAAATGACAAACGAATAAAATTGAAAGAAAATAGTATCGTTAGTTGTTTCTTCAAAACTTTTCTGTAATTGCCTAATTATTTAAAACTATTCACCATTCACTGTAACGAAATTTAAATTAGTGACGTGCAGAGGTTTGACGATGCTCGGGGCGAACCTCATAGTATGCCCCCATGACTCAAGTATAGGTCCTGTTACTGAGAAATGTGTGTGTGTGTGTGTGGGTGTGTGTGCGTGTGTGTGGGTGTGTGTGTGTGCGTGTGTGAGAGAGGGAGAAAGAGAGAGAGTTAAGCGGCCACTCGACACAACTAGGTCATTTCGGTAGTAGGGGTCGTTAGCAGTGGGAGGTTGGACAGGCGACCCAACTCCTTGTACAATCAGGGAATCGAAACAAGGCCAGCTGACTCAATGACAGACCTTATGATACAAGGCGCACGCCCTAACCATTCGGCCACCACCACCACCCCCTCCCCCGAGAAATGTGAGAAGGGAAGGCAGGGGTAAAACAGCCGAAAAAACATTTTATTTAAATTAAATATAAATCAGCTACATTAATCAATTTATTTTAATTTCTCTCTTTGATTGGCTAGTCCCCTGAAATAGATGTTTGGATCTGTCGCTCCTCTACCTCTCCCCTACACACCACCAATCAAGGCACAGGGTTCAACATCTCATCGACACACTTTGTTATCTTCAAACAAGACAAATATACGGTTATTTACGATTTTTACCCTGTTTTCGAATCCCGATGTGGAAATATATCAATGACACTTTTACTGTGGAAACCATATAAAGTCTGCCCCGTTACTTTTTGGCATTGATGTTAAATTTTAATGTGATCGTATACTTCCTGTAGGTCCGTCTATCCAATACTTAAATTTACATTTTTTTGGGGGAATCATTTATTCCAAGCTTGTTCGGTTTACTTAACTACTCGTAGAGTCGAGTATAAATTATTCCTTAGTTATTGGGTAACTACTTAAAGCAACATCGAAAAATGAGGTTTATCTATATTGGAACATTCGACAAAACTAAATTACGTGAGAGTATTTCATATATAATGTTTAGAATAAATACAGATGGGAATCGAGAGAGGAATTCCAGCAGAGGGCTTGACCGGCCTTCGATTTGCTAGGAATAAAACGATGCCCTGCATCCGAAGTAGTCAATATTGGATATTCATTGTTGATAGCATTCACAGCATGATTTCGGTAAATTTTGGACGCTAACAGAAGAATCTTGGGAATGGTCCGAAGTATATTTAAAGATTCGCGATAATTTTTTGGCCTGCCGACGTCGAAGAAATACACTACGATATTCATTTGGATCAATGTAAGTTAATAATTTGCCTGCTTGTATTGTATAATATGTAATGCAGTCAAACGTGAGGAGTGGGGATGGGAGGTCTAGAACCTGCCACAAAAGTCCATCCTATGATAACATCTCAAACAGTAAAGTCTTCAAATATTATATATTATTTGATACAGGTTTCCTACTGTCATTCCCCCTCTTGTCATTAACAGTCGAAAGTAATAGGTGTCTTTGTCAGGCCATGCAGTACATCCCGAACTGAAGATGCATGATGCTGATATTTCAATACCAATCTTCGTAAGAAGGATTGTATTTGAATGTGGGGGGTTGTAATGTTTTGTTGATACAATGTACATCAAATGGGTTAAATCTGTACATCGGATATGTGTATTTAGCTTGACAATAGACTATGTATCTTCGCCAGTACTATATAGCATACCTTCCTCCATAAAGCAGTGTAAATTAGTAAAAAAACATTTGTTGCATAATACTTTCTCTTTAAATACGCTCCTATTATTTTTGTTTATCTATAACACCCGTCAGATACAGTCTTGAAACAAGTACTGCTGTATCTATTTATTAATTTTTTGACTCGTTACACTCAGTAGAAGGTTTGACAAAGTTTATATAAGCGCCCCCCCCCACCCACTCATCCCAAATGAAAAACGCTGCTACGCCCCTGAGTGCCACAGCCACACAACCACCGTGGTCCGGATAAAATGTAAAGTGGTAATCTATTTGGAAACCAAACACGAAGAGCATCAATAGCGCACAGCTTAATGAACCTTGACATTCGATTAACGCGTCAATGTCGAGAAATAAACATCGGATGGAATGGGTCTTTTTTTTTGTCTTTCTGGATAATCATAAACGATCTTAATAAATCTTTACATGCTGTAAATCGTCAATATACACGACCCTTGTCTTGGAAAAAATACTAGACATGATAGAAACTTTATAATGGAAAACGTGCTCAGATTAATATACAGTTTGACGCAGCGACAGATAGGAACCGAGTTGAGGGAATTTAGCCAATATTCCTGTCGCAAATGATTGGCATCTTTAATCTTTAACGACAACCAACGTTCTAGTGTAAATTAAAGAAGGTTCGCCCGATTTAATTAAGTTTAATATTGAAAGCCGCGGATGTCGCTTAAAAGTAATTTCCCTGACTTGGGAAGACATTGTAAAAGTAGGTTGAAGAGCAGTGGTAAAGAGGACCGAATGTCCTTGTAAATAATTGCACGGAGTGAATTAAGTATTTAACTAGAATTAAACGAAAGACCATCTCCATTAAATTGACGATGTCTCCGAGGAAGTCCAGAATACGAAGCAAGTCTTGTGATGCTAATAACGGATAGCAACCAAACAGGTAAGCTATATATGAACTTTTTAAAACAAAACGAAAAGTAAATAAATGTGTGAAAGAAATTAAGATAGTTTACGAGCAAATATCAAAAAAAGCATTTGAATTAGTAAACGTATATCAACCAAACTGGTAAGCTATATATGAACCTTTTAAAACAAAACGAAAAGTAAATAAATGTGTGAAAGAAATTAAGATAGTTTAAGAGCAAATATTAATTAGCTAGAGAAATATTACCAGCGTTTATTTTTTGTTGCTGTCTGTGCCTACAATTACAGTCTTTCTCGGAAACTTTAATAAGGCAAACTGAAAACTAATTGATTTATCATTTGTTCTGGCTTTGTTTTATTGGGCAGTTGTCCGTCACTGTCTATTATCAGCGCAATACCAGCAAGTGATGTTCAGATTACCACATACTAATCGTCAATAACTGTAAAACGGTCGTACGTAGCATCAGTTTTCGTTTCTGAATACGAAAAGAATTTTACTTTTTCTGTGTACCAAAGCTTGTGAGTATTTTACTGGTAATTGTGCTATAGCGTCATCGACAAAATAAACTTTTACAGCCGAGTTGATATTAAACTAACACAGACTGGAATCTGGTTTTTTGACCACATCAAACCATTAATTTCCACATTGACTCTAAATGTTAATTCTCGTCTCTTGGACCGACTCTAACTTTTCCCAAAATTTCCGTTGGGTTGAACGCTTTCTATCACAGATGAACCAACATGTGGCAACCAGTTGCTCAAAAGCATGTATTGAGGTTCACCATGGAAATCTTGTGATACACAAACTGTAAGTAGAATACTAATAAACATTCAACTGTCCGTCCTACATTTCAGCATAGTAATCCTTCCGCTTCAAAATCATGAATATTCGTTAAAACCTGGCAGAAAATGTTGATTCAAACCCTTTTCGTTGATTTTACAGCAAAAAGTCAACAAAAATCGCTGCGCAAAAGGGTGAAAGGGAAAAGGGAGAGCAAATCTATTAATAACTTTTGCATTATATTCGTGCGTAACCAGATGTAGAAATTAATTGTGTAACCAGACGTAGAAATTAATTTTGTGTCTGAATTGGACCAGATTTTCCAAGTAATTTGTGTGTATACATCAGATTAAGCGTACACTTTGAAATCTTTGGGAAATTGAGCCTTTATTTTTTAAAATCACAATATACCAAGTTAGTCTCGAAAAGATTTAGAATTACCCTCCCCCCTCCCCCTATATATCTATATATATATATATATATATCTCTCTCTCTCTCTCTCTCTCTCATCTTTTAACCCTTATTGTAACGATCACGCTGTGCTCTTAGAATGCCAACGTTATTTACAATATACACAATTACAAGTTGAAAGCGACTGAGATATCGAATATCTGTCATAATACCATTAGAGGAATAAGGGGCGAGTTTCCTTCATTAAAGAAAATATATGTCTACGAACACATACTATTATAAAAGTTTGTTGTATGAGCTACGAGTCTGTAAGATAAAAGCATAAAATAGGAAGAGTATTATGTTTAAAAACAAACTAAAACTGTATCTTCTTAGAAAGGAACATCATCATATTATACAGGCTTGACATCTCTATGTCCAGTTTGAATCTACGGGATCCAAATCTGTTGGGTGCTTCGAATGACGTTGTGGGTAGGTATTATGTTTTCTGTAAATCTGAGATCATAACAAATCTACCTTTTTTTTGGTAGGATTACATAATATTTCATAGGGCGTAGTAAATAGATTGTAAATATAGTTAAGATAGAAGCTCTGTATCCGGTTTGAATCAACGAGTTCTAGAAATGTTGGGTCATATGCCAATCTGATTTAATCCTATTTCGTTTCGTTTTTTAATAGTTCAATATTTCGTTTTACTTAACTTCACAACACTAGGATCTGGAAGAGTTGTTAAAAAGAACAGCCGTTCTAGTTGATGTGAGGAATTAGCCAATGAAACGGTCTGTTACGGCGAGTTCTTGGCGTATTCTGCACGGAACTGTGGGTAAACCCCTAGAAACGTCAACGCTGATTGATTAATCAATGTCTGTCGACACAGTGTCAAAAGCCGCATGTATGACCCCTGACGTGACCTCCAAGTACATCTGGTCAGATCATCATATAGTGTAGGCCATCGAAAATATAAAATAACGAAACGAAATATAGATCTGCATTGTAATCAGATTGGTCATATGGGTTGGTAGGTAGGCATTGCGCTTTCTTTTAATGAGAGATCACGGATAATCTACAATTTTGCTGTTTGATTAACATAATTCAAAGGGCACGGTAACACAATGGTAAATATAGTTTTTAAGGTAAAGGATTATTTGTATCTGCCAGGCTAATTTCTCGTCGGTTATAATCTGTCGGATAACAGCACACGGATGACAAAGGAGCGTCTGGGACGACCTGTCGGACTGTTTAAGTTTTGGTATAAGCGGGTCTTAAGTACTGAAAAGTCGTTGGGTGTTCAAACTCAAAGCTAGATGTTCAAACCGGAATGGATGGCCGAATGGTTAGCACGTGCGCGCTATATCGTGAGATCTGATCAATTCCGCTCAACACCATCGTTTATACCCCCCTTATTTCTGTACGTTATAGACTGACCGTTATATATATATATAAACATGTCATTTTACTTTCATTAGTACGTGGGATTTGACTCTATATGTGTAGTCCTCCTGCACTTACTAATAGAAAGCGTCATCAACCAACAATTAGTCAAAGACACAATATGATCCCAATGACCAAAGTACTACATTTATTATAACTATTACCTTGATGGACGGGGGGTTGTAGTGTCAAGGAGTAGGGTCGTCTGCCTAATTTCGTGGATTTCCAAGTTTTCGGGTTTCCCCTCTGCCAGCTAAAGACTCCATATGGTGTGTTTTTGCATATTTAATGTACTTTCATATTTTTAGATGCCTTTTCAACATTAAATGTTCAATAATACAGATTAATGGATTAGGAATTGTACAGAATAAAATGGTATTCAAATACAATTGACCGCGTGGTATCGTCTCCTGGTCTTTTCCAGGGGTATTTGAAGCAAATCGGCCTAGCATTTGCTATGAGATACTAACTTTTTAAATTATAGAACTTTTAGTGGTTTTCAATTAATTTAAAGGAAGCTCGTGAAAATAACTTTACTCTAAAATGGCCAGTGTATGCTTTGTTGATATGATATTATTCAAAAATTAACTCTTCTCGTTTTCCGGTGAGACAGATTCTTTAAATTTATTTCTCTCAAAACATCAAATATCTTTTCCAAAGAGGATTGACATGAATTAGGTTCTTACTAAATTTAATCAATTTTATATCCCAAGGCTGTTTTAATTTCTCATGTTTAGTAATCAGAAAGCCATCTGCTATCAAGTCTTTTTACAACATAAATCTATTTGGACTAATTAAAGGTGAAATACGAGTGGGAATTCAATTTTATTTTAGACATCCTATTTGGCATTGCAGAGCAATATCACAAGTTTCTGATTAGCAGCAGTTTGTGAGAAATTATCACATTTGTTCACATTTACTAAGCAGCAAAATAAACGTCAGGTTGGTATGTTACTCTGAATAGACACATTGCATAAAACTTGCCAAATGTTTTTATTGTATATTTGTGACCACATCTCCAAATTTACCTGAGCAATAAGGCTCCTTATCACCCAATAATACATTCTACAGTAGATATCGCTTGTGTGATATATTTCATAATCTACTGCGATATATCCTTAGGAGATATCGCTTTACATGAATTTGATTGGTCAGTTGAAAAGGAAATACTTTTTTTTATTTTCAAAGAACAGTTCATTTCTTATTAAAAATAACTTTTTTTTAAATCAAAAATGAACTATTGTTATTCAATTGACCTTGGTGGAAACACTGGGTCAATATAAAGGACCTTGCAATGGTTGAATTGCTGTCAAAAAATGATGTATCACTACGCCGTAATGTTCAGTAAAAGTGAAATCTACAGCAAAGAATTAAATTTATCTATATGTGCATGTAAGAAGGGATTGGGTGATAAATAAAATCTCCTACTCGTCTTTTTTGATATCAAAAAATATCAACACTCGTTGAAAAAGTAAAAAAAAACTCGGCAGAGCCTCGTTTTTTGTTACTTTATAAACTTGTGTTGATAACTTGTGACAGACTTAATGATACATTGGGAACACACGGCGGAAGACCAATCAGTACCGATACAATGCGCCAACGTCTCACTAGAGACAACATCCATTGCCGTAGACCTTACCCAGGACCGATCCTCACCCCTCGCCATCGACGTTAACGGCTACCGTTTGCCCAACAACGTCAGAACTCTAGCGACACCACGGATGATCGCCCCCGAACTGGTAGACCAAGGGTTACCACAAGGCGACAAGACCGCCATGTTGTGGGACAGCACGTGCAGAGCAGAATTCCTTCACACAGTCATCTGAGACAGCACGTCAGACAGAGGGAACACAAAGAAGACCAATCAGTACCGATACAGTGCGCCGACGTCTGACTAGAGAGAACATCCATTGCAGTAGACCTTACCGTGGACTGATCCTCACCCCTCGCCATCGACGTGAACGGCCACAGTTTGCCCAACGACACCAGAACTGCAGCGACACCACGGATGATCGCCCCTGAACTGGTAGACCAAGAGTTACCACAAGGCGACAAGTCCGCCATGTTGTGCGACAGCACGTGCAGAATCCCTTCACACGGGCATCTGGGACAGCACGCCAGACAGTGGGAACACACGGAAGACCAATCAGTACCGATACAGTGCGCTGACGTCTGACTAGAGAGAACATCCATTGCAGTAGACCTTACCGTGGACTGATCCTCACCCCTCGCCATCGACGTGAACGTCACACTAGAACTGGCGACACGGGCAATGGAGAACTGTTCTGTTCACAGATGAGAGTCGGTATTGCGTATCAACTGCAGATGGCAGGACCAGAATTATGCCGTCGTCGTGACAAGCGTTATTCTGACCAATAATGTGTTATGGAACA